ATAATCAATAGATAAGGAGATAAACACAATAAACGCAAAATTAAATGTATGGAAATGTATTGAAATGAATGATGTCGTCTATGTCTGGCACCACTCGGATGGAGGGGAACCGGATTGGGAGCCCGACATCATCGACAATATCCACAATAATAAATGGGTTTGTTTGGCCCGCACTGAATACAATCTCGATTGTCACATACAGGTGCTGACCGACTATATGAGCAAAGTGTTTGAAAATAATTGATAACTGAATTGAAATCAATAGGAAATAGAGGAGAACTGGACAGACCTGGCTCATTTCGTGACACTCCACACACCCCTATACTACCCGTTCAACGCGTTGAACCGTTTCCAAGAGTGTCTCCAGAAGTTTATCTCATTCGGCATCCGAACCAACTGGACGTCTATTAATGAGCCCAAACACTACAACGCCATGGCCTCCATCGACGCCCTGACCACTATATTTGGATATAACACGTGGGCCATGAACTTTCAGTTCCGCCAGGTGGGTCCGGCCACCCTGGTCATCACTTATGATCAGCCAGACCTGATGGGAGGGGTGTCAGGGTGTTTGGTACAGTACGTGAATCCCGTTGAACCCAATAAAGTTCGGTTTATTTTGAGAAATTATTGCGACCGTGGATTCCGGGCCAGAATTTTTGCTAAAGTTCTCAACTTCTTCGAGATATTTATGGTATGATATGTTATCTCATTAATTGTTGGCCAATAATTGTGTCTATTATTATCAGATAATATTTATGCTGACTAAAGGGTTATGTAATTGAAGTGAACATATTATATTTTGAATTTGATTGATATGAATGTGAAATCCAGTGTATGTTTTATGACTGATAATAGATAATTAGTTGATACTTTTTATTATTAACTTATAAGATACTATATACGTAAGTTATCATAGAATCCAAAGTTATGCAACTATAAATTTAATGTATACCTATTGATGAATTAATTGATAACTTAATTGATAAATGTTTAGATCGAAAGGGATATGATTGTGTGGAATAACAAGAAGTTTGTCAAAAATGCCAAATACACTAAAATGGATAAACCGATCGCACAGTTTAGGCGATGGTATACTCAATACTATTCCGATAAAAATGATAATCTCCTGGACTGGTAGACAATTATATGAATAATATTGAATCAGAAAGCGTAAAATTATAAACCATTTTATTTAATAATAATAATTTTATTTTACAATAAATAAGAAATGGTTTTGCTATAATTTTAATATAGTGTATAATATAACAAGAAATTCACAGATAAAACAATTATTCAATTAAATTATCTGATAAACTAACAAAACAAATATAATTCAAATGGTATTGATATAAATAGAGAATTTGTCTTGATGATTTATTTAATATATACACTACATATGAAGTGATTTCCATAATCATTATGATTTTTGTTATAATAAAACATTTATTTTGTATTTATAAGTGAAGTGTCTTATTCAATTTCCAATGTTTTAAATATTGAATTCGATATAAAATTCTGTACTTTTATTATTATTATTATTATTAATCCTTTTACATTTGTATAATCATATAAATAGTCTTTGATTTTATTTATAGTTTTATAAACACTATTTCTAATGATTGATATTTTCATTTGTTTCTCCAAATCATGTCTCAATCCAAACATTACTGGTTTAAGTGTTAAACTCCTTAAGTATTTAGTAATCAGACAATATTTGTGATCAAAGTTGCAATCATTGAAAAATAAGTCAAAATTCTTAATTTACAATTTGTGCGATTAAGCGGTTTTTGTGTTAAAATTATTGTTAATTAACAAAATGTATACACTATATCATAAGTAAAATAAGTCTACTTTAAGAAAACATATTTAATACTCAACAATAACTATAAGTTAATAGTGAACCAGTAGACAAATTCCCTTGATGAACTAGATGTAAATATTTCTCTTTCTACATTTGTATAGCTATGCGTAACTTATTATATAAATTTAAATTTGTAAATCCCAATTGCAAAGTTGATCCAAATATTTAGCAAATAATTATCTAATGGTACTTCAATACAGATCTCTCAAATGATGTGAACATATTTTTAGTCTGTATTTCAAATCCAAAGCAATCGTAGATCAAAATCATCGCCACTACCACTCTATTACTAAATCCATTGCTATCTCACTAGAAATTGAATTGTCATTAATTTCTGTACACAATATATATGCAAATATGTTGGTTGCCATCAATCGAAACGTGAATAACATAATTGTTTTCTCTCGTGTGAAGTGTTTTGTTTTGAAGAAATTGTCGGTAAAAAAGATTTTAAATTCACTTTTCCATGAAAATAACAAAAAACAGAAACAAATATATTTATATATTAACAACAACTCAATAGAATTCTTCAATAAGTGGTGTCTTTATATAATATAATATAATCTGAATATAAAAATTGGATTAAATTCTTGCACTATATATACACATATGAAGAATATTCTTCGAGTTCTACGACTCGTTGTTCATCTGTTCATCGGTCAAGAAGTCGCTGATATGCATATATATAATCCAATACATGAGGTTAAAGCATAGGAAACAGACCGGGAACACCACCCGCGAGTACTTGTCTATGTCTGAGGGACACACACCGAACAGGGTGTTGGGATTCTTGGGCCCTCGGAATGGCGTCAATTGAGTGGGCGTGGAGGGGGTGACGAGGGCGTCGTCGCCGCCGCTCAGCTCCAGATCCCCGTCCACAGCAGCCATCTGTTGCTTGGCCTTCAGGGATGACGTCCGCGTCAGTGTCTTGGAGCCCGAGATCCGGTATCGGATTTCCTGTCATTTTTAGAGATATTTAGAAAAATTTTAATTTAATATTCAATTTGTCTCAAATATTTATTAAACCAATATTATTAAATTAAATAAATGAATTTTTAAAAATAGATTTATCATAATAAATAGGTTAAACCACAAAACATACTCATCTCAAAGTATAAGTAACTTTTAAAACTTTTAAAAATCAAATTTACAGTCTATTATCATTTTGTATGGATTGAATTAAAAATAATGTACCGGTACAGATACGTTCCTGGGGGCGGGTATACACGGATTGGAGTAGAGGGAAGTCCTAATGGGTGGCTCAATGCCACTATCAATGGAAGCGGCCACACATTTTTGCCGGTGCTCGTTCAACAGTTTGGCCAACTGTTGGCTCCGGGACTTTCTCATGGCTATGCGTTTACCCATATAGCCGACGGTCGCGTACTCTAATAGGGCCGCGAAGACCATCACAAAACACGTGCCGAGGAATACGTCTATACTCTTGATGTACGATATCTTAGGCATCGCGGCGTTGGTGGAGGACATCAGTGTCGTCATCGTCAGCACTGTTGTCACTCCTAATTGTACTCTCGCGGGACTGGCATTCTGTAGACAGTGGTGGACAGGTATGTGTGGGAGATAGTGGAGAGAGAGAGAGAGA